CCATTGGGTGGTTTCCAGCCAATAGGAGTGGATTGATTTTGCTGGGTAACAGGGCAGCACATGAAGCCACTCCCCTCCCTCCCACAGCACAGAGAACCACAGGGAGCAGCTAGCCACTTTGAGCAGAACTGCTCCATGCTGAGCAGGAGAGCCAAATTAAAAGACTTTGTGGGCAGCATCTAGCCTGCCCCTGATCTGGATGATACTTAGTCCTACCATCAGTGCAGGGAACAGGTCTAGAAGACCTCTGAGTTCCCTTCCAGTTGAACTATTCTATGCTACCTATAGCATTTTGTGTTACTGGATGTTGTGCCATAACATTCAAACTCAGATATATGGGGGGTGTACGCACATGCATGTGTGTGTGTGTATATATGAAGGATTCTCATTTGCAATAAAATTTGTTTAAACTGAAACTGTTAGATTTGCTTTAACCTTAGACACATACAGCATAATGCTATGTCTCTCAAAGGTATCCACTACTGATTTTGCACCCCATAAGTAGTGATGGGTTTTGAAGTATTCATGGAAAGTCCTCCTTATATTTTAAGTTAGATGTTGATTTCTTGTATGCAGGTCAGGAAAAAAAAATCAATGTTATTTATTACACTTTGTTTATAATTCATATATCACACAGAACACCCGCTATGAAAATAACTCATGCAGTTTAGTTACACAAAATTATAAATTGTATAGGTAGCTAGAAACAAAGTATTACAATCACCTTTAAAAAAAACCTTTATAGTAAGAGTATGAAAAGAAATAAATGAACCTATCTTGGATCTCATGTCGACCTGAAAAAATTACCAGTATCAGTCAATTAGGGTATGTCTACACTACAATGTTAGTTCGAACTAACGGATGTTAGTTCGAACTAACATTCATAGGCGCTACACTAGCGCTCCGCTAGTTCGAATTTAAATCGAACTAGCGGAGTGCTTAGCTCGAACTATGTAAACCTCATTTTACGAGGATTAAGCCTAGTTCGAACTTACTAGTTCGAATTAAGGGCTGTGTAGACCCTTAATTCGAACTAGTGGGAGGCTAGCCCTCCCCAGGTTTCCCTGGTGGCCACTCTGGCCAACACCAGGGAAACTCGTCTGCCCCCCTCCCGGCCCCGGACCCCTTAAAGGGC